GTACTGTGCATTCTAAGCAATGATGTTTATGTTTCTTTGTTCTCTCTCTTTCTCTCTCTCCCTCTCTCTCTTATTGGTTATAGCAATTAGTGGGTTTCATTTTGGCCAATTCCCACATGTACTTGATGTACTCATTTCCGCCCTATCAGGCCCCCTTGTGCCAGCCTCCTCCCTAGTTTCACCTTTGGGGAAATCAGGGCACATATCCATCCCCCTGTTGCTTTGTCATCAACCCTCCTTATTTCCCTCCCCAGTGTCTCTTTAATGTGGCTCACTCTTAAAACTTTTACTGACATGTTAAAGTCAATGAGATCACGAATTCTTGAAAATACAGGTTCAAATCAGTGTGTCTGAAGGAAAGAAAAATAAAAATCAGAAAAGGGGACACAAGTTATGCTCAGTTCTGAACTCCGCAGCTCATTAGGGATGGATCTTGTGTTAATAATTTAATTTCATTATTCATAAAATGGAGACATGATTTTTTCATAGGGCTTCAGTATAAACGTATACCATGCTGTCATCCCTCTGAATCTGTAGGTCTTCACTGGCAACTAATATCCTTAGATGCTTGAGTATCTTATAGAATATAATCTGTGCAATCTCATATATACTTTAAATCACTTAAGTATTCATTGTCCTTAACACAGTGTAAATGCAATGTAAGTAGCTGTTCTAAGTCTTTTGGCTAAGGAATAATGATAAGAGAAAACATGTGTAAACATTCAATACAGAAGCTTTATTTTTCCAAATATTCTTGGACTCCAGTTTTTTGAACTCACAAATGTGGAACCTGGACATAAGGAGGGCTTGTTGTATTAGGTGCTTTTCCCTTTCCTCTTCACTTTAAAATTATATTACCTGTCATCTGTGGAATAAGGCTACAGTTAGATTCTTAACTTGTTATTCCTTTTAACAGACTTTCAGACTGACCAAGCAAATTCCCACCTTCTGTTTAATTAGGGTAGGAAGATAAGCTTAGGAGACAGGGAGAACAGGGGAAACCTTGTGTCATGATATTGCTTCAGAACCCTGGAATCATTAAGTAGTACTATTGCTGCCATTGATGTAGTCCCACTGGCAAGAAGGGTAAGCAGGTAAAAGAAACTGTCAGCCAAATTTGGGCCTATCGAGCCTACAATGACTGTTGTCCACCATGCTGGCTTTTCCAACATGCATAATACTAAATATTTTACAAGAATTACTCTTAAGAACTTAACAGAGACTAGATGAGTTTTATTAGTACAAAGAACATAGTCATTCAAAGATGACTCATGCAGCCTCCTGGTGTACACCTCCCGGAGTCTTTTCCAAAACCAGGAAAGATGTCGCAAGCTCCCGGAACTCTCCTGGTCATCTGACCACCCCCGACCCAGTGCCACAGATGGGAGAAAACCTCACAGTTTTTCAAGAAGATTTGTTTCAAGTCCAAAATCCAAGTCCGATATCTTCATTCAAATGGAAGCTAATTATATTAATTTAACAAAGTTGCATTCATACCTGTTTTAAATGAAGCCCTAAAGTCAAAAATACAAAATAACTTTAGGTTCTCCTTTTTTCCGTATGTCGTGCTATGTCCCTTTTTAATCTTCTAATGAAGGAAAACAGCCTGTCCTGGACAAAGAGAAGAACAAGCCCCCAGTGTTTAGATAGGGAACTGTTTATGTGACCCTGTGTGTATTTGAGAGGTTTGATTTACCATCCCGTGTTGGCCCCCTCGTGAGTGGTGACTAATTTTGTGCTTCTCAACCAGAAGGGCCCATGACTCAACCAGGAAAAGAGGACTGACTTCTTCCTCTTTGTCCCACACTCACTGTTCTTCTCTGTAAGAAGTTTTTATGTACAGAGTTTTGAAACAAACTGCATAACGTAATGCAATCTAGATGCTTTCTTCAGCAATTCCTCAGTTTGCGAAGGCAATCAAAGGAAATTCTTAGGACATCTTTTGGCCATCAGATCACTTTTCCAGTCCTCTTCTCTTTCCAAATCAGTTCATTATAAAATCTTTTAGATGTTTTTTTGGGCACAGATGATAATTCTGTGACATTTTTGGAAGGACTGTGCATTTGAGTGTTGAATTAAGTTTATTTTCTACAGAGGGATCTGAGACTATAAGCAAGCCTTCTATCTCAAGCATGCCAGGTGGCAACTTGGGGCCCTTTGAAAAAGGTGATATTTATCCTTCTAGTATGTGCAAAACTGTATGCACACTTCTGTTAAATTATTTCAGTAAGTCTTTAATGTTTGTTTTGGAAAGGAGTTTGTTTTGGTGTCTTATGGGGCCTATGGGAAGTCTACCTACCAGTCATTTCAGAGAATATAGATATATTTTTCAACTGCATGGCCTCCAGTTTACTCTTATGATTGCAACTCAACACACACATCCATTTTTTTCATTACATTTGCATTAAGGAAACTTTTCTCCTTTTTTCTACCTTGTCCCTTTTAGCTTGTTCAATTACAAATAATGAACTATATAGTTTAAGGAAACAAAACACTTAACTTTCAGTGCTTTGAAAGTTGTACTTAGTGTGTGGAGAGAGAAGTGTGTGCTGTAAAAATTTATAGCAAGGTAGCGCCACTCAACTAAAGCCCTTCCAAGTGGCCCAGTCTGCCAACACTAGGTTTGATACCTAGTGTCATAGCTTGTTATGTGTCATATTATTTTTATGACCACATGCACAATCCACCATTCCCTTCCCAAGTCTGCTAAAATGCTTCGTGGTGCTTCTCAAAGTCCTTTAAAATATTCTCACTTTAGAATAAAAATTGCCAAATTTAATGAGCTAAGTCTTCTCTTGTTAGAAGTAATATCGTGTAAGAAAGTATAATGCCAGGTGCCCACTTCATGTGGCAAAAGCTTCTTATGCCTGGGTCGTTTTTTAGTCAATGATTCCTCCTGGTTCTTAGCCATCTTGCCTCTGCTGTCAACATCTGCACTGGAGAACAAGGTCAGTGTAACATGGACCTTAACAAGACAGACTTGAAGCTACAAATTAGAAGAGAACAATTAGGACTAGGAGACTTACTGATCGTGTTGCCAAGAAACAAAATTTAGGGACCATTGAAACCAATCGAGGCATGCAAGCTGGAGGTGAAATACGAATTTCCTCGAGCTGCTGTAAAATCATCATAAACCGGGTGGCTAAGAACAAGAGAAATTCATTCTCTCACTGCCCTAAAGGCAAGAAGGCCAAGATCAGGACATCACAGGGTTGCTTCCTTCTAGAAGCTCTGAGGGACAGCCTGATGGATGCTTCTCTCCTGGCTTCTGGGGGTGTTGGCGATATTTGGCTTTCCTTGGTATGTAGATGCATTGTCCCAGAGACCTGCACCTTCATATCACCTTCCCCTGTGTAAGTCTCTGCACCTCAGATCCATTCCCTTCCTCCCCACCGCCCTGGGCTTTCGCAGGCATGCACCATCACATTCAACTTCTATGTTTGACTCTGCATCTTGCTCTGTTGCCCAGGCTGCTCTCAAATTGCTGGATTTAAGTGATCCACCTGCCTCAACCTCCCGAAAAGCAAGGACTATAGGTGTGCACCACCCTGACTACCTATCAGTGAGGTGTGTTTGAGCAAAATTAGTACTGAATCTCAAAGTGAAACAATTCAAGTAACATTAATTACATGTAGATCACATGCATTCCTGTATGCATGTATGTGTGTATGTGTTTAAATGTTAAGACTATTTAAAAACTCTAAGGGGCAGAAATTAAGTACTGACCTTCAAGAAACCACACTGACATTTATGAAGCATTCTAAATGCATTTTAAATTGTCTGAACAAAAACTTGAGACCTGACTTTTTATCCTTAGATATCTAATAAACAGCATACATTCCTATGCTGTGGGCCTGGCCCTCCAATTAAATGCTGCATCTTTTGTAGTGGGGGAGTTTTCTAGCCCAGAGATGGTTTTATGGGACTGACACAACAGCCTGGAAAGCCCCTTCTCACTCTGTGCCTTCTCCTTTACCTATTGTGCTATGAGCGGGAGCTTTACGATAGGTCATAACAACTATTTTGAGGATGGTAGTGCTAAATAATAGCATAGAAGTATTTCTAGTCAATGAATTGCACAATTGGTCCTCATAAGTTCATTCTTTCTTGGGTACATTTAAGTGTCCTTGTCAAAAATGAACATCTTTTAAAGCTTCAGAAAGGACTGGAGATCAGAAGTAGAATTCTAATATTTTAAAAAAATACTTTCAATATGAATAAGATAAAATTCATAACTAGCTTTTTTGTTTTGTTTTTTGTGGTGCTGGGGTTAGAACCAAACCCAGGCAGCCAAGTGCTCTGCCACCGAGCTACATCGTGAGGCCATAGCCCGCTCTTGTCACTGCCTTCATAGTTAAGCACTTTTGCAAATAAATGGAATTTATCATGTCCACTTTGAGATGCTAGTTGCAATCTTATCGGCCTCACAATTCAACATACTTAGTCCGGCATGGTGGCACACACCCGCAACCCTAGCACGTGGGAGGCAGAGGCAGGAAGAGCACCTCGAGTTCAAGGCCAGCCTGGGCTACAGAGCAAAACCCTGTCTCAAAAAAACCAAAACAAGAGTTCAACATATTTCTGCTTTGCTATGAAACCAGCAAGTTTTTGATCCCTAGCCTTAATACTAGATATTTATGCCAAATTCTAATACAAGCTGTGGAGCTTGATAATCACTAAAATTAGCAGATATGGAGTGCTTCAAGAAAAATCTAGTATGCTTACTTTGCTTTCCCAGGAAACAGTCCTACTCACTCCCCTGGGCCCAGTGCTCAGTCTCTTAGAGAAGGACCAACACGAGGCCACAGAACTATGGAAGAGAATCACTAGTTGTAGACTTATGTGGCTTAAGTCTGCTTTTGCTATGTTCTGATCTCTCTCTCTCTCTTTTTTTTTTTTTTCTGGTACTGGGGATTGAACTCAGGTCCTTGTGTCGAAACCACATAGCTAAATCCCCAGCCCTGTTTTGATCTCTTTATGCCTCTCATCTTTGCCCACAGGTGTGTACCACAGGTTATGTTCATTTGAGACTCAGCCGTCAGGAATCACCTGGTGTTACTGAGAGTCTGCTGCTGGCGCTGGGACTTGCTGCTTGCCTTGTTGCCATGTCCAACGAAGTGGAAACAAGCACAACCAATGGTCAGCCGGACCAACAGGCTGCACCAAAAGCACCATCAAAGAAGGAAAAGAAGAAAGGTATGGAACAAAATCCTCTTGGGATCACTGAAAGGCAGTAGGGGGGATTACTTCTGGAGAAATGTGACACTTCAGGTGAAGTTCGAGCTGCCTCTTGCCTAGCCACAACATTAGCTTAGCTGAATCTCTCCTAAACCAGAAAGTTGGACTTTGGAAGAAAAGATTGGTTAGCCCCACATATAATAAGACTTATCTCTGAGTCTGTGATGACACCAATTTAGATTCCACTGGGAAACTTGCAAAGCTTCTAATTCAGCTAGTAATACTACCATTAATTATTATATGGTTAGCTTTCCATAATCTATTTACTGTTTTTTTCATTGAAGTCACCAATTTTTAAAAATAAAGGTTGTTCTCATTAGACCCATTTCTTTTGACGTAAGGCACCAGTAGAAAGTGTCAGAGTCCTTAATGATACGGAGTGAAAGAACACGCCATGCTGTGCTTTTTTTTTCACTGAGACTCTAGAGCTGTGGGAACAGAGCTGCACAGACCCAAAGAAAGTCACAAAAATTCACTCACAGTTCCTTTCTGCATAACCAATAGATCAAAATGCTAGTAAGTTGTGAGGTTGCTAATTTTTTCTTTCATTGAAAAATACATGTCATCTTGTTTACATACCTTAAAAACATTTGGACAAAGTCTATCCCCAAATCCCACCACATACTGCTGTGAGTTTGCCATAGTCAATTTTGTATCTCTAAGCTCACTCCATAATCACTATTACAGAGATTTTGCTCAAAAGCAAAAAGAATAAAACAGGATAATTCCACATATGATTGCTTCTGATATGATCAAGATTTATACTACTGAATTTTTTAAGAGTTGGAGCACATTTGGCTTTTCCTAGGACTGGTATCTAAATATAAACTTTACCCTGCATTTCTCGCTTCTCTTAGGCTCTGAAAAGACAGATGAGTATCTCTTGGCCAGGTTCAAGGGTGATGGTGTAAAATACAAAGGCAAACTAATCGGTATTGATGATGTGCCCGATGCACGAGGGGATAAAATGAGCCAAGATTCTATGATGAAACTCAAGGTAAAAGAATACTTTATCTGTATTTTAAGCCTAAGTCCAAAAGAGGGAAGCTTCCCCTACCCGCCGCCCAGTGCCAGGGATCAAACTCAAGGCCTTGCACTTTGAAGGCAGATGCAGTGCCACTGAGCTAAATCCTCTGCCCGGGAAGTTCTTTTTTAAGCTGTATCTCAGACATTTGAAAAACTGTTTTAATTATGTAATTGATTCAGTCTTGTTTTCTGAGAAGCCCCACATTTGCGTATTTCAAGTTCTATTCTAGAGACCCAGTCTAACGCAGGCTAGCAGGTCTCTAGATGACTTCTCATTCTGACAGACTCAACCCTTGGATGAACCAAGCCTCTTGGTACAGTTTCCCTCATTCAATAACTGTAAAAGTTGTGCGCAATTATATGTTATTATTATGTGAACCTCTTTTATAAGTAATACTCATTAAAAAATGCAAGGCTTAGCAGGAACATCTCTTCTTCTAAGCCAGCCGCCTTATCTCTACCATAACTGTTCTGAGGCCATGAGAATTAGGGTAACGTGTTCTAGTCTGTCTTGCTAACTACGGGTCGTCTTGCTCAATGTTTTCTGTTATCCTTGATAAAAGGTATCTGATCTTCTCATACATGGCAAACCAAGCTGAAAACAGTGCTATCTTTAAAATTTTTTAGTACTAGAAATATTGTAAGATATTTAATTAGATTTTTCTTGCTTTCCCAATCTCATCAGGGCATGGCAGCAGCTGGTCGTTCTCAGGGACAACACAAGCAGAGGATTTGGGTCAACATTTCCCTGTCTGGGATAAAAATAATTGATGAAAAAACTGGGGTAAGACTTGACACTCAGTGTTGTTGAACATTTTTTCCTGTATCTATTTGCTGTTTCTACTTCTTCATCTAAGAAGTGTGTTATTCATCCCGGATGTCCATTTTTGGATTGGGTCTTTAAATTTGGGTGGGCTGACTTTTTTTAATTCTTTATATATTCTAGATATTAGTCCTTTGTCTGAGGGACCACTGGCTATAATTTTTTTCCCCACTCTGTGGGTTGTCTTTTAACGCTGTTGGGTTCTCTTGCTGTGCAAAAGCTTCTTAAATAAGATGAGGTCCCAGTTGTTGATTCTTTGTAGTATTTCCCATGTGGTCTGGGTTTTGTTCATGAAGTCTTTGCCTACTTCCCTGTTCTCAAGCATTCTACTTATTCTCTCTTCCAGCAGATTTAGTGTTTCTAATATTTAGATCTTTGATCCATTTTGATTTTAGTTTAGTGAATGGTGAGAAACATGGGTCTAGTTTTAGTCTTTGACATGTAGAAAACAGTTTTTCCAGTCCTATTTATTAAAGAGGCTATCTTTCTTCCTGTGAATGTGTTTGTTCCTTTTGTTAAAGACAATGTGGCTGAATGTATTTGGGGTTCTTTCTGCATGGTCTAATCTGTTCCATTGATGTTCAGATCTATTCTTTTGCTAGTACCATGCTGTTTTCATTACAGAAGCTTTGTAGTGTGATTTCAAGTCAGGAACTGTGATGCCTCCTGACTTGTCTTTGTTGTACAGAATTGTTTTTGCTATTCTAGGTCTCCTCTGATTCCAAATGAATTTTAGGATTGATTTCTCTAGGTCTATGAGGTATGCTAATGCATTTAGATTGGGATTTAATTAAATCTATATAAACAACACTTGGAAGTCCATCTCACTCCAGAAAAGAATGGCTATTATCAAGAAATCAACCAACAACAAATGCTGGAGATACTGTGGGGTAAAAGGAACACTTCTCCACTGTTGGTAGGAGTGTAGACTAGTGCAACCATTGTGGAATTTAGTGTGGAGATTCCTCAAAAAACTAGGACTAGAAGTCCCATTTGACCCAGCTATTCCTCTTATAGGTATCTTCCCAGAAGATTTAAAAGCATCATACCACAGCAATATACTTGCAACCATGTTTATAGTGGCACAGTTTGTAATAATTAAATGTTGGAAACAACCCAAATGCCCACCAACTGATGAATAGATAAAAAAAAAGATGTGTTTTAAAAATATAATAGTGGAGTTCTATTCAGCCATAAAGACAGATAAACTCGAGACATTTCTAAGTCAATGGGCACCTTGAATGTGGAGTTCTATTCAGCCATAAAGACAGATAAACTCGAGACATTTCTAAGTCAATGGATGCACCTTGAAACCATACGCTTCAGTGAAATAAATCTAACCCACATGTGTAAATATCACACTATCTCTCTGCTGTGAGAAACTGAAAGTATAAATAAGGACCTAAAAGAACAACAGATATTGTGAAATAGGAAGAAATCATTCAAAAATTGTACCAAGTGTGAAATATGTCATTAATAATTAAAATATGCTATGTAAAAAAGGTACAGTATTATTAGGACATGCGTTGAGAAAGATTAGCAATACCAAGTGTGAAATATGTCATTAATAATTAAAATATGCTATGTAAAAAAGGTACAGTATTATTAGGACATGCGTTGAGAAGTAGATTAGCAAGTGAAAATATAGTTTTTTAAGATCATGATAAAAAAATTGATATTCACTGATTCCTATCTGACTCTGGTAATGTGCTACTTTTTTAGCTTCTTTTTTCCTTGTCAAATATCTGTAAGGAAAAAAAATAGTAGCATGTATTGCCTCTCCCAAAGTAACAGGAAGAAAACAGAATAGCAAGTGGTGAGTCAAGGTACTTTACTTTGAAATTCATGTCATATAAGAGACGTGAATGTAGCTATGAGCACACGTATGCTACAAACATCACATGGGTATTTGTTTTGGACCTTAGATATACAAAACTAGATAAATTCTAAAGTCTTGCTAGTGATGCTTTCATAGGTCTATATGCATGAAACTCATTTTAATCTATTGATCACATTTTATTTCATCAGCTAACCTACAGCTTCAATATTACCCTAATGCATCTAGCTTTTTATTATTATTATCTGTCTTTTCCCTGCTTCCTCACTCCACAGATGTAGCCTCTGTTGTTTTTTGGTGGTTGTTATTGTTTTAACACATAGGAACACTTTTGCCTGTTTGGTTCTGGTTTTGATTCTTATCTAAGATCCTCAGGTCTTCAGGGGTATTTTTTTGTTCACTAAGCGTAAAGTAAAATTCCTCTACTTCTAGCTTCATTTGTGCTCCTTTGCACTGCTGGGCCATACTTGGCTTCATGGAGACCCTGTGGAAGATCTCCCGTTACTCTTCCTTCCTTCCGAGAAGGGTCCATTACCTGATATGCACAGCCCACCAGTCTTACTAGGGACTGAGCCCCGGAGCGCGTGGCCTTCAGGTCCTCAGGTTCTCCTCCCCTAGTCCGTTGTTACCCCTTCAGCTCTCAACTCTTGTTTTCCCACTACCCCAGCCCTGTTCTTGTTTTCTCAATAAATCATTCTTTATGTTCTTCTTCCAGGTAATAGAGCATGAACATCCAGTAAATAAAATTTCTTTCATTGCTCGAGATGTGACAGACAACCGGGCATTCGGTTATGTGTGTGGTGGAGAAGGCCAGCACCAGTTTTTTGCCATAAAAACTGGGCAACAGGTAAGCTCCGAGTCTTGATGTCAGCCTGGGGGACCGGTCCTCTGTGGAGAGTAGGAGTGTCTGAAACTGAACTTGAAAACTTGCTGGAAACAATTGAATGTAGGAGAGTACATTGTTTTGAGGCTGGTCTCATGTAGCTCAGGCTGGCCTTGAACTCACTATATGGCCCAGGTAATCCTCCTGCCTCAGCCCCCAAAAGGGCTGGGATTACAGGTGTGCACCACTGTGCCTGACAGGAGAGTAAAATATTTGATCTCAGAGAATAACCATCTTGTTTTGTTTTGGTTTTTTGGTTTTTTTCTTTTCAAGTTTTGAAGCAGAAGTTTGCCTATAGCCCAGGCTGGCCTCAAGCTCATGGTGAACCTCCCGCCTCAGCTTCCAAGTGCTGAAATTATTACAGGCATATACAGCCACTCCCAGCTTTAAAATATCTTTTTAAAATGTCACCAACTCCCAAAGTTGTGTGTTGCACAAAGACATAAGAATGAACTTTGTTATAAGGTCAACGCTGATTTTACAGTGAAGCAGGCTTGGGATTTAGCTCAGTGGTTCTGCCACCTGCCTCTCAAGTGCAAGGTCCCAAGTTCGATCCTCGGTACTAAAAAAAAAAATTCTATCCTAGAACAACAGTGAATCATTCCCAGAAGCTACAAGGAACATTGAAAATAGTCATGGTAACATGCTAACTCTTGTTTTACCAAGTACTTACTAATCCTTCTGCCCTTTATGTATCTGAGGGTTTTAATGACAGTGTGTGTGGAGAGGAGGGAATCCCTATAAACCAGAGGAAGGGAGGAAGGAGTTTTAAGAGAAAAAAAAGGAAATGAATACTAAGGCGAACTAATGGAGACACAGAAGAGAATAATTAGAATTAAGTAAAATACTGATGATATTTTCTCTTGCTTTAGGCTGAGCCATTGGTCGTTGATCTTAAAGACCTTTTTCAAGTTATCTATAATGTAAAGAAAAAGGAAGAGGAAAAGAAAAAGGTAAGTACTACTTGATAGAGGCTCTGTTGAATTTAAACCATATCCAGGATGCTTGTAGCTATGTGCATATATGGCCTGTCTGAAGACTCAGCCTCTGAGAACTTCAGAGTACAGACTTGTCTGCTCTTGCCGGTAGTGCAGTGCTGCTCATTTCCAGCTCCGCCTCTTATCTTTTCTCCATAAAAATTTTGTATCAGTTATAAGGAATTCATAGGAAAATCCAGTTCAAATCTAGTAATTCTATTCAAATCCAGTATCTATATGAAAAGGGGAAGGGACTGTACCGGTAGGTGATATACACAAGCTCTTGCCTTATGCCTCTGAGATTATAAGTATATTTGTTCTTTTATTTTACCTTGTTTAACTACAAATACTTCATTGAAACTGTGTCTTTCTTTATAGGCCGAAGAAGCCAACAAAGCAATCGAGGTAAAACCACATCTTTACTTCTTGCGATTGTGGGTATGATATGTGTGAGCTCTTGTTGGAGACCTGCCTGAGCACTGTCTCCTGTTGGCTGCATGTTAATGTGCTCTCTGCTTATGGATGATGTGTAGTGACAGGATCGACACCAAAATCACAACTGCCTAATAAAACCACCACGTTAGCAAAATAAATTTTGTGGGGAAAACTTAACAACTACCTTTAAATATTTGTCATTTTTTCAGAATGGAAGTGAGGCACTCATGACTCTTGATGACCAAGATAACAAACTGAAATTGGTATGTATGTGATATTTTATAAATCTTATTCACCTAAACATAGGCTCTACTTTCCGGAGATGTTGTTCATGCCAAATTTGTATTGAATGTGTATGAAAAGCCAATTGCAACAAGTATTTTCCTAAACATTAGAGTAACATTTATGTCAATATACAGAATAATCTTGAAATGAATGCAAATATTTTTAAGGGTGTGGACCCAGATTCATTTGCCTGGGGATAAGTCTACACCTCCTGACCTAAACAACTCAATATCAAGTCTGCATGAGTTAAGTGAAAATCCAATTGTGGGCCTTTTGTTTTGGTTTTGGTTCTGGTTCTTTGAGACAGAGTTTTGCCATATAGTTCAGATTGACCTTGAACTCACTATGTAGCCTAGACTGGCCTGGAACTCATGGTGATCTTCCTGCCTCATCCTACAAATAAAAATCCCTTAGTATAGGAAACTGAAAACTGCAACAATATACAAAGTAATCCTTCTTAGTGGACACATCTCAATCTAATCCAAATACTTTTTTAAGGGTGTTGACCAGATGGAATTGTTTGGGGACATGTCTACACCTCCTGACCTAAATAGTCCAACAGTAAGTGCTTGTTTTTAAATTTGCAATGTAATGGAAATGACATCTATCATTCAAAATTGGCCTTTAACCAGAAGTCTTGAGCGTCTCATTGAAATCTGGAAGATGACTGCTGATTTTTCCACATAAAATGTAAATGGTCGCCAGACTAAATATAAATCTTAAGTCACCAGGGGAAACTATCAGATATGTTAATGTCGCTTAGAGGTTGAATCTGAGCAATAGGTCAGGCAATGTGATCTTTCTTGATAGAGGAGCAGGAGGAGAAGCTGAATAATAATTCTCGGTATAAGCCTACCTGAAGACAGTATGATTGTTGCTTGTTAATCGTAAAGCTTCTTGGCCTCTTCACTTTTCCCCCCACTTTCTATTGTAATTTAGTGACATAAACATATTATGAAGTAAAACATCAACAAAAGACTCAGTTATGTGCAAACGAAGTATGTCCTTCATAGAAAGCTGCTCGTTTTTAATACATCATTACAGTATCTGTACCTAAACTGTGAAAATAGAGCAATGTTTTCTCTATGGGCAAGAAAGTAGTAGGTTCAGAGAAAAAAAATCTCATTTTCCCAAAAAAGATGTCCAGATTCAAGACTAAAGCCCTGAGCTTCAGACCTTCTAAAACAAGCCACAAATGAAAGTATCCATGTAAGTTTGAAAGACCCCTGGCAACTTATACTATTTATTAACAACTTCTTGTGTTCCTGCTCTTGGCAAAGCCCCCAAGCAAGTCACATGACATCTTGGGATACACTGTCTAGCAGGGAGACCAGCATTAAAACATCACAAAGCCTATTAGCTAGTGCCAGGTACAGGGCACTTACGTGCTTTAGGGGGTCTAAGAATCCCTAGGAAGGGAGTTTCTAGACTTGAACATGACGGATGAGAAAACAGTAACTATACAAACAGAGTTAGTTTAGACTATGAGGAAAATGTTGTGAGGAGGCTCTTATGTCAGAAAATTATCAAGCACGTCTACAAGACCGAGGTCTCAAGAATTCAAGCAGCAAGTTGGAGACTGGGTAAGATTCTTACTTCCCAGCGTACTTCAGAAAAAATAGGCATGTAAGAAACACATGGGCCAGCTGAGCGGAGAGCAAGGGCTTCCTGCTCATCATGGCCCCTCCGCATGGGGACCCCACCACTGGGGAGGGTCATGTAAGGCTCTGCAAAATGTGCAGCAAGTAACTGATTTAATTCCCATTTAAAAACTGAGTCCTGGCTGACTTGTCTATAGAACCTTGCTTTCTTTTCTTTTTTGAGATAGGATCTTGCTTTGTAGTCCAGGCTGGACTTGAACTCACTGTGTAACCCAGGATGGCCTCCAGGCAATCTTCCTGCCTCAGCCCCCAAGTGCTGGGATCCTAGGCATGAGACGCCATGCCTGGCTCTTCATTCTTTTTAATGTTTGCTGTCATTCAGAGGCTGAAGTTTTGTAAAATACTACATTAGGTGACCCTGAAAGGTCTGTCCTTGCTCTGTGAGTTGTTGAGTTCCTACAATTCTGCCCTCTCTTCTATTAGTAGTCTCTTCTCAAAGGTAACTGATATCCTTCCAAGTACAATATTCAAAGGGATATACTGGGAGGGTGGAAGTACCCAAAATATGAACTGGAATTACAGAGAAAGAGGCAATGAAGTCCTGTTCTTGTGCTTTTGTTGACTTTAAACCAAAACAATTGCTCTACAAGGTGTGAAGTGAGAAAAATCGAAAAACTAGAGTTCATTAGTGATTCTGTTGACCGTAGTTTCCCCAGAATTGGTAGTGAGACTTTCACGCATTTCAAATAATCACACAATGCTCATGTTGCAAAGTAAGTGGTATCCATTAGAACATGATTTTATTTGAAAATTGCTTGAGCATCATCCTTCTGTACTATTTCAGCGAGGGGGTGGGGAGAGAGAAATCCCTTTTAACATTAAAAACTTGGCCATTTGAAAGCTTGGTTAGTATGAGAACAATGTAAGCCATGATCTGCCATCAAGGAGATTAAATCTGATACAGGGTAAGATCGGGTTACAAAGTTCAAGTATCATGTATATGGTTGTGTGCAACCCATGTGATGCCACAGGGTGGACACGGGTAAAGTTGAAATAGAAAATAATTGGGAAAAGGCACTTGTAAAGAATCTGAATTTGAACTGGGTTTTTGAAATGGTGTTGAGGTCAGAATCAAACTGAATCCTACCTATAGTGGATCATTTTGGAAGCTGTCTTAAAGAAGTTTAATACCTTTGTGGAATAGCAGGAAGCCACCAATGAATGACTTTTAGTAGGAAAGTCCTGGATTTGGCAAGCTAGAATGGTTGTGTGAGGTGAACCAGCAAGAAAGGAGACAAGGAACTCAGGCTTTAAAGCTCATCTTTATGCACACACCTAATTGCCTGGAGGTCCCTCCCCGTTCTGGGACCACCTTAAGAACAGGGACTGTAATTTCACTTTCCTGGGTCCAGGGACTATCTCTCCAGTGCTGAGAGGGTGGCTAAGGGAGTGTAGTGGACAGGCCAACAAAGCACCAGGAGGGTGGATAAAGAGTTTCCCATCCTCCCAGCTGTAATCTCTGAGCTAGACTCTTACTTAGCCTTGAAGTAACAACAGCCCCAACCTGAGGAAAGCTTATACATTTTACTTATAGGGTGACGATTCAGAGGTGTAACTTTTGGCTCCTGTTTGGTGTCCTAAGAACTTCTGAAGTATTTGAAAAGGAGAACTCTGCCAGCTGTGAACACCCATCTGTTCTAACGTAGAGGTGGCTCATAAAGAAATAAATATCAAAATCACAAGCTTTGTAATACATTGTACCTAACCTTTTGATTTTTAAAACATCTCTTCATTAAGAGATCTTCCAATCCATTTCATTGATTAAAAAAAAAAGTTTTAATTGCAAGCTGTTTCTTGTGACAAATTCTTCTAATTATAAAGAGAAAATCTGACTCTTAAAAATTGTGTTTTTATAGCTCATAGTAATGGAAGCCAAAACAGAATACCATTTAAGTCTGATTTTTCTTTCTTTTCTTTGGCCACAAAGTAGGATCTGAACTTTCACTTTTCTCTACAAGTTTAGAAGACCTACTTGAGTCCTTCTGTACTTACAAGTTTGAAAGGTTAATGTTCCCTTAATTTGTTGTTGTCCCAGTGATCAAAAATTGAGTGCTGTGCTCAAGTTAATGCTAAATGTATCTTCTAACTTCTGCTTCAGCTAGGCACCCTACTGTTTATAATCTTCTATTGCTAGGATAATAGAGTATTTAATGGATTAATAGAAAAAAGTCAGTATGAGACACCTATCCCAGGATGAATCATGATTAGTTACTTCAGTAATTAGAATAAAAATACATTAGATTTATCAAATTTTATGCTTTTATGCTGAAGAAAAATTATGTAGCAATAGAGAAACCAAATAACGGAAATAGCAAAAACAGAATTAGTGGAGTAGGCATTTGATTGTGTCTTTCAGATTGATACTTAACCCACATCTTTACCTTATACATAAATGGAAGTTATTAGTTGAATTAACACTCAGTGGATGGGGATTACTTCCACTGCACAGGCACCTGTAAGCTATATACTGAAAAATATATCTAAACACAAGACATTAACGTGTGACAGATTAGACGAGACAAGAGTTCTAAGTATCATAGAAAGATATAGACAAAGAAGGATATAGCCAAGGAAGAGACTAGGGTGGCAAGGATAAGACACTGGAAGGCTGAGATACAAAGGGAAATCATTTTTCCTCCAAGGGAAGCATCTGGGCCAATTATAGGGAAATGCATTTCAACTTTATCACAGCTAGAACTATAAAATATGAAAGTGCCAGCCAATGCGTTCACTCATTTAGAGAGGAGATGCTAATGACTTCGGGTATGATGAAGGTAATACATGTGTGTGAAGCTGCGGCTAGGCTTCCAGAGTGATTTCTTATCTTAAACGCAGCATACTTGGATAATCATTTAGAGTGACACACAAATCAAAGGTGTGAATTGAAAGGCTGATAATGAACCCAGCCATGGTCTGTACGTAGGGAACAAGGTGAGCAGAGGAAGTAAACAATAGGCAGTAAGTCATCAACAGGAAGTAAGATTTCACTTAGTGAAGGGGCAACAAGGTTGAGAAATACAAGAGCGCGTTGTAAGGGAGGGGAAGGGAAATCCAGTGCACAGTGAGTAAATGTTCTCTGGGAGGTGATGGGGGGAGAACAGCCACCCAGTTTATGGAGACCAAATTCTAATGAGAATTTCAGTGATCCTAGTCATTTTATATAGTTTACTCATTTGAAGTCGTAACATGGACTAACACTTTCTTCTTCTTTTTTTTTTTTTTCCTTCCCAAATGTGATAGGAAAGCAAAGATATCCTGTTAGTGGATCTAAACTCTGAAATCGACACCAATCAGAATTCTTTAAGAGAAAATCCGTTCTTAACAAATGGCATCACCTCCTCCTCTCTTCCTCGACCAAAACCTCAGGCACCCTTCTTGCCTGAAAATGCCTTTTCCGCCAATCTCAACTTCTTTCCCACACCTAACCCTGATCCTTTCCGTGATGATCCTTTTGCACAGCCAGACCAATCGACACCCTCTTCGTTTGATTCTCTCAAACCTGCAGATCAGAAGAAAGAGAATTTGAGTAGTGTGTCTACTCCACTGAGTAATGGGCCCCAGAATGGTGATGTTGATTACTTTGGTCAGCAATTTGACCAAATCTCTAACCGGACTGGCAAACAGGAAGCTCAGGCAGGCCCATGGCCCTTTTCAAGTACGCAAAGCCAGCCAGCAGTGAGAACTCAAAATGGGGTATCTGAAAGAGAACAGAACGGCTTCCATATCAAATCTTCCCCGAACCCTTTTGTGGGAAACCCTCCCACAGGACTCTCTGTACCGAATGGCATAAAGCAGGACTTGGAAAGCTCTGTCCAGTCCTCACCACATGACTCCATAGCTATTATCCCACCTCCACAAAGTACCAAACCAGGAAGAGGCAGAAGGACTCCTAAGGTGAATTGTCTTCTCCACATCTCCATTAGCAGAGTGCATGCTCGGTACCAAAGGGTGGTGTGACGCAAGCTCTTTCTGCTGCTCTTATAGTATCCGCGTGGCTGTAAATAGAAGGTGGGATCAGGCACAGCTGTTCTGCAGGAGAGCCTTCCTCTAGTAGCCATTCTTTCTAAGTTTCTCAGCAGTGTTTGTCACACCTGCTTTCCCTTTGCATGCCTTGTCATTTACTACTAAACTAAACACAAGTTTTTCCATTTTTAATGCTGCTATGCTTCTCTGCCTCTGGTAAGTTTGATTGTCGTGTTCTGGGACGGGAGGGCAAGAGTTGCCGTGACCCCCTTTGTCCCTTCCCACACTAACTCACACAGTGCACACCCATCCTATTGCATTAATGTCCACGGGGGTGGTGGTGTAAAACTCTCAAGCTTATCTCCTCTTTTAAACATTGACTCAATAACCCGTTTTCTTAAAAGAGGCTCGCAGATGTACTAATACCAGCTTCATTCAAATGCAGTTTCTATAGGTTATCTTTTTAAAACTCTCGTAGTAGTACGCAATTTTACCTAATCATTAACTTTATCTTTTCTGTGTAGACTTATTTAGATCCAGTGGGATGGTCCAAATTACTTAGGGGGCTTATTTGTAGTCACCTTTTCTTTCTCAGCTTCAAGCCTCGAGTCAGTCAGGAGACCACACTGATACAAATAAGTTAATGAAATGAGTTTTCATTTTTCAAGTCTTAGGTTGTATCAGTCACTAAGTCCCAGTAGTCAACCCATTGTAGCAGTCTTTATCATTTAATCCTTCCCTTTTGGTCTCTTACGTAGTTCTTATTTTACTTATTTTGGGGCAGTTGTACTTGTTTCTCAGTAATAGGAAAAAAAATTTCTTTTTGTGGAACTCAAATTTGGGGTAAAGAGTAGGAAACAGATCGGGGCTGTGTTCTGTGTTGCTGAGTGACTCTTCTCCCTCCCTCCCTGCCCTGTCAGTCTTCAGCAAATGACTTGCTTGCATCAGACATCTTTGCTCCTCCCGTCTCAGAACCTCCAGGCCAGACGTCCCCCACAGGACAGTCTGTAGTCCCGCAGACCAACCCTCTGGATCTCTTCAAAACAAGTGTCCCGACCCCAGTGACACCTCTTGCCAGTCTAGGTAAGTGCCTAGAGATATGGTTAGGTACAACTCTGCTACTTTCATCCCTAGACTCATGATCCACAGGGGACTGCATTTCCTATCAGAATAGTGGGTTCCTAGGCCTAAAACTGCAAATCCAAGGCAGCTCTTCTCTCACTTTTACTCTTGTACAACTCAGCTCCATTTGATACTCTTGGCATGTGACAAGAAATCCATTTTCAACATTTCAGGTAGTGGCACCAACTGGTAATGTTTTCTTGGGAGATGGCTGTAAGGGAATGTGAAGCCCAGTGCAGCTTCAGTGGTGAAAGGAGATGAAACCAGCGTCTTGTCTGTTGTCTATATTGGGAAAGTAGTAAGATGCGTGCCTTCCATGCCATGTGCCATACAGATTGGAGACCTATCCCTTTTTGAAGCAGTATGTGCCCCAAGTGGGGTATAAGTGAAGGCTGAGGCAAGTCTAAGACGTAGGATGAGTCTTAGGTTCTGGGCCCAGCGTAGATAAGTGTGGACCAGTCTTCATCCCAGTCAGTCTGTTGTACTTCCTCCTTAGCAGTTCCGCCAACATTTTGCTAACAGAGTGTCTTCGTAGAGGTAGAAGGTAAGTCCTTGAAACCTGGAGTTGGAAGAAGCTCAAAATATAAGAAGAGTGGGAATTACATCAGATATCTAGGATGTGCCAGCGCTCTCATTTATGAAAGTGTTGTTAGCTGCATCAGCCACCTGGCCCCTCTGCTGTAGCAGGATAGCAAAGGCATGCGACTGAGGGCTGGTCCTCCCACCCTTTGTCCATAGCCTCCTGTTCTTTTTCATTCCATGGTTCAGTTTTAAGAAACCCCAGCAGTAGTTCTTGCTGTCCTGCTGGGGACTCTGTTTTTCTGCTGCTTGGCACCTCTACAAATTGAAATCGATTCTGGCTTGGGAGGTAGGGTACAACAGATTAAGAAGGACTCTCTCCTCCCTCTTTGGTAAAATTTGACCAGAGATCTTGGTTTTCTTTCCCTCTTGCAGTCAGTCACCAGGCTACCAGGCTACTGCTGTGTCTTTTCTTCTTCTTCTTCTTCTTCTTCTTCTTCTTCTTCTTCTTCTTCTTCTTCTTCTTCTTCTTCTTCTTCTTCTTCTTCTTCTTCTTCTTCTTCTTCTTCTTCTTCTTCTTCTTCTTCTTCTTCTTCTTCTTCTTCTTCTTCTTCTTCTTCTTCTTCTTCTTCTTCTTCTTCTTCTTCTTCTTCTTCTTCTTCTTCTTCTTCTTCTTCTTCTTCTTCTTCTTCTTCTTCTTCTTCTTCTTCTTCTTCTTCTTCTTCTTCTTCTTCTTCTTCTTCTTCTTCTTCCTCTTCCTCTTCCTCTTCCTCTTCCTCTTCCTCCTCTTCCTCTTCCTCTTCCTCTTCCTCTTCTTCTTCTTTCTTCTTCTTCTTCTTCTTCCTCTTCCTCTTCCTCTTCCTCTTCTTCTTCTTCTTCTTTCTTCTTCTTTCTTCTTCTTCTCTTTCTTCTTTTCCCCTTTGCTGCTTTCTGCAAAGGAAAATATTTTATTTCAGCCACAATAAATCTGTTTAATGTTATCAGGGTGGGGGTGGGGTAGTACAGAACTACCGAGGGGCTGAAATCCATGTGAGTATGAGAAGCTGTTGTGTTCCAGGTCTCTGCTCGGCATTTTCATGGACTCTCCCTAAACATTTTCTGTCTCTTGGGTCTTCCCCTTTCTGCATGGTCTGTTTCCTACATTCCCAGTACAGCAGGTTAGTACCTTTCTGTACAGAAAGCCAGAAAACTGGCATGCAATGCATGTGACATGATCACATCCCAGAGCTTTGCAGTCTAATATCAATACCCTGAAGGATTTTTACAGCCAATATTTAACAAGTCAGCCTGAAAATACAGCTGGACCCTATAACTGTTAATTTATTCAGACGAAGTGAAGCTTTTTGGCTAAGTGCCCCTGCTGAGGCCTTGGGGTATACAACTGCAGAATACTGATGATTCTTTTAAGTTCTGACATGGATCTCAAACTGAGCTCTACAGTATAGCCCCTGTCCACTAGCAGGGATCCTCAGCCAAGCCATGGAAGGTTGGAGGTCTGGCTTCCGCTGGACCAGCTGGGGAACTGTCTCCTCTGGAGACCTGCGGGGGTGGGGAGAGGGTGTCAGAGAAAGCTGAGTCCTAGGCTTTGACTGGCTACCCCGTTTTTCCATGTAGCTTCAGAAGGCAATAAAATTGATGTTTTATACCCATGCTGCCTTTTCCTTAGTCCTTGGCCCTATTTTCTCCAGCTGGGATATAAATGTCTTAGAAATACAACATGTGGAATGTGGTAGATGGCAATGAAGGCCAAAATTAGCATATACTGGGAAAGCCTTTTGTTCCTGGAAAATATAATAATTTTCTCTTTTTCCAAACACCACTCTTATTGATAGGATCTATGACTAAAGCCATGAATTTTCCTAAGGAAAGCCACGCAGTCCAAAGTGAAAGCTGATAGAATTCTACCTCTTTGTGCGTGTGTGCACATCTAACTGATGAAAATTATTAATGAGAGACTCTGGCTTCAGCTAATAAAGTTTATTTTTTCATTAAGTTTATCGGTACATTTTAGGTAGGCATTATGATCACATTCATCATTGGAAATTTGTACCTGCACATGATATATCTTTGTTCTTTTTTTTTCCAATTCACCTTCTCTTCTACCCCTCCACTCCTCCATATTTACAAAAATCTTTGTTTCCATTTTTTCCTTCTTTTCTCATTCAGAAAATTTTAATAAAATTTTGTTTTATTAAAATTTAATAAAATTTGTTTTAAAATACTAGCAGTAGCCGGGTGTGGTGGCACATGCCTGTAATCCCAGAACTGGGGAGGCTGAGGCGGGAAGATTGCTGTGAGTTTGAGACAAGCCTGGGCTACATAGTGAGTTCCAGGTCAGTCTCAACAATATAATGAGACCCTGTCTCAAAAAAAAAAAAAACACTATGCTAGTGGTAGGGCCTATATTATGTTGTATTATAGATTCTAAGAGAAATTATCCCCTAGTGTTTTATGAAGACTTACATTCTTTAGTGCAAGTGAAACTTAATTTCTATATCTGTGATATTGAATTAACATACCATGTAGAAAAAAAAAATAGTCCAGTGCTTGCTGTAAGACAGGGTTCTGGATTCAAAGCCGGTGTGCCTGAGTTTTTCTCTATGGGCACAGACAGCAATAACTTTCCCAATTTTAATTACATTCTTTATCCAGTTCCGTCACCTCACAACAAGCATGTTGATTAAATAAGGTGGCCTTTTCTAGAACTTCCCTCTCTGTCAGTACAAATGCATTCCCAGCCACATGGCAAGCATTCATGACAAGAGAGAATTTGAGTACTAAGAAAGTATAAGAAGAGTATTTGGCTTGATCAATCCCAGCCAACGTTTACTAAGTACTACTCACTCTAGTAGCAAAAATAATCCCAAACTAAGATGGAAGGCCTCTGCTTAGTGGATTAGAAATCGGGGAATACTGTGCTCCCAAACCTTACAGCAAATAAAGTAGATTTTGAGAGCAGAATATCCGCATCAACCATAAAGACATATGAAGCTGAACTTAGGGATTTTGTGAGTGGTAACAGTTTTAACTGTCTCATTAATACACTTGGAAGAGAAGGGCAGAAGATGCTCTATGTATTTGAAAAAGATGCAGAGAATAAGCCTCTCAAGAGAGAAAGGGAATTGGAGAGAGCTGGATTTTCCTGATTCAACTAATCTCTTTTTTAAAGATTTTTTCTTATTTATTTATTTAGGTTCCTGGGATAGAACTCAGGACCTTGTGCTTGCGAGGCAGGCGGCAGAACCACTGAGCTAAATCCCCGGCCCCATGATTTAACTGATTCTTAATGAACATGAAAAGGCTGCGGGGAATAGAGCCGTTCACCCACCCAGATCACACGCCCTGCACCTTTGTTTGTTTCCTTTCTTTTCTCTCCTCCCTTTCTCATTTAAATACTCTGTTCTACTTTTTGGCAGGGTTTGGTGAATGATACATGGCAGGAAGCACTTTTATTTGAAACAGCCCTCCCAGGATAACAGCCTTTCCTCCATTTTCGTATATAAAACTCTAAAGCTGTCTTGGCATCAGCCAAACTTTATCTATATAGCTATATCAACTTTGGCAGTGTTAAAAAGCAGAGAAACTTTGAAATAGTTTCTTTGGGATGGAAGCATGTTGAGACCTTATGCTTGTGCGTAATAGCTGCTTTCCATGTCTCCAAGCACAAGCCAGCTGCTAAATGAAAAGACAATGACTCAGAGCATCCAATGGATTATCTTAATTGCTTCATCCCCAGCAAAGTTTATATATAGAAATGTTCACAGCAGTCCCTACTTTTTTCAGGCTCTGGTCTAGTTGTTTGGGATACATCAATTTTATTATTTTTTGTTGTTATTGTTGTTTTATGTATGATAAAGACTCAGTTTTTCATGATTAGGCATTTATTGATTGTATTAACCTTCTGGTGAGGAAAGTAAAAAAAATATGGTACAAAGAACATGGGCCTCGAAATTGCAACCAGCATTCAAATACTAGCTATGGTGTGTCAGCCAGTTAACTTTTGCAGTGCTTGAACCTCTTAGAGCTTTTTTTTCCATATCATCCTTAAGGCATAATGAAGGCTTAGACAGGTGCTTTATAAATGCTCCAGAGACTCCTGCTTCCAAAAGAGTCCACTTCAGGGCTGTCTCCTGATGAGCGCCTTCTCCTTCTTCCTTCAGGTGGTACACCGGTGTCACCCCCTCAAGCAGGACCATGGAACGCACCCATTGTCTTTAACCAGTCCACTCCAATAGTCCCGGGAGCCATGTTAGGAGGCCAACCTGCAACTTTCAGCCAGGCAGCTGTTTTCGGTACTAGCCCAGCTGTTCAGTGTTGGAGTCAGCCTTCATCTTTTATAGCCTCAACTTGCCCCTCACCTCCTGCAGTTTGGGGTTCTTCTGTATCTGTGGTACCCAATTGTTGGCCAGCAACAAGCCCATTGGGGAACCCTTTCCAGAGCAATATTTTTCCTCCACCATCTGCTCTTTCCTCTTCCACGCTGCCCTCACTTGTAGTCAGTCCTCCTCAGCCACCTCCCAGAACTGCTCCAAAGGACATCCCCAGCGATGCCTTCACTGCCTTAGACCCGCTTGGGGATACAGAAGTCAAGGAAGTGAAAGAAATGTTTAAGGACTTCCAGTTGCGGCAGCCACCTGCTGTGCCCTCAAGGAAGGGAGAGCAGCCTTCTTCTGGGACTTCCAGTGCCTTTTCCAGTTATTTCAACAGCAAAGTTGGCATTCCCCAAGAGAATGTAGACCATGATGATTTTGATGCTAATCAACTGTTGAACAAGATCAACAAGCTCAGCGGTGAGTACTCACTTCTCTGCCTGCTGTGCCAGCTGTTTCTGCTGTCATATGGGTCCAAGGAGGCCCCTCAGAAGAGCCTTCTCTTGTCTTCCAATAGTCACTCTTGTTTTCTTTGGTATTCAGTAGTTTTGCAGACCACAGTAACCGTTTACCTTTTGGACCCAACTATTAATCTTAGCCAATTTTATAGATTGGCCCAATGCTGCCCTCTAGTGATAGTTATTAAAAGGGCTGCCAAGAGTTGTTGAAATATGACGGATTGGAGGACTATATAATAAAGCTTCGTCCATTTCCCATGGTTTTAAGGGAGCTCTGAATCTCACTCACTTCAGACAAATACATATGGCTTTCGCTTCTTAAATGGGATCGATTTGTTTATGGTAATCACGGAGCATCCTAGTATTTTGCAGTGATTTTTATACCATTGGGTGTATATTACAAAAGTAAACAACTAAATTTCAAAGATAAACTGAATGGGGGGTATGTGCCACAATTGAGGAAACCTCATTTCCTGACTGCTTGGGATTTTTCTTTCTAGAACCACCAAAGCCAGCCCCCAGACAAGGTTCCCTGTCAGTTACCAAATCAACCAACAAAGCCTTTGAGAATCCTTTCTCTAAAGATTCCTTCAGCTCACCACAACCTTCTGTAAGTATCAACTCCTCAGATTTATCATGAGAACCTTCCCAGGATAAACATTCATTCAAACTGGACTAAGGTTATTTTTACAAGAACTACTTTCTCCTGGATTGGAGAAAAAAATAGAAGACACCATTCCTCACTCATTTCATCTGGCTTGTGAAAGCATTTTGAGAGAAAAGTGAACCAAAATGATATCTTAAAATCCATTTAAAGATCTAAGCTCTTGATTTCCTACCTATGATTTTATAGCTCATAAAAATATTTTCTAAATGCAGAGGCAGAATAAGTCAGCTGAACCCTGATTTTTAGTTAATAGTATACATCACCATCTGTAAACCAGTAAGCACAATTAATTGTAAATCCATTGGTTTGTTTATGACCTAAATGACTTTTAAAGGAATTTGAGAAGTTCTAATTGTTTTTTATGACTATAATTACATTTGTTGCCTGAATTATATCTCTTTAGATGGCTTCTCCTCAACCTGCATCTTCCGATGTATATAGGGATGCTTTTGGAAATCCTTTTGCCTAACTGTAAGTCGAAGTTCCTATTCAGCTTATTGGGAGTGGGAGGGATGACACCGGTAAAGAGTGAGATTTTATTTTCAGAATTGGAAAGAAAATAAAAATCTATAATTTAGCAGTTATAGAACTCTATACTGAGGTAATTCAACAACAGCTGGACATCAGTGAAAATAATTATTAAATGCATTAAGATGTGATGATACAGCCATGGGATAAGCTTGAGTTTTGATATTTCAATTCTGAATGGAAGTAAAACTTAATATAACGATATAACTCAAAAATGAGAACCAAATCTGTCATGTAAAGGTACAAGATCCCAATGATAAATGTAACTGTATTGTATACTTAAAAAGTACCAGTAAACTCAATGAAAAAAATCTAACTGAAATGATTAAAAAATATATAACTCAACATAATTTTTTAGCTTCCTAGCTTTTTATCTTGCATATCGAAGTGATTGCAAAGTGTCCTAGTGGTAACTTGTTTTCCTGAAAAAAGGTCCACGTTTGAGGACCTTCTGAAGCCGCCAAACAAGTTAACTAAATAGATCATGGTCACTAATCCTGCGGCACGTATTTCTTTTTTATGAGCCCTCTCAAGTAATCTGTGATATCAACTCTAAATTGGAGGCAGCTGCACTACTTCCTTCAGAACCAGTCAAAGATCAAAATTAGTCAGAAGGCTGGTTCTTCTGCAGTGGATTTCTTCCTAGATAAACTGTTGGGTATAACCTGTTGCAGCTTAGCCCCTGCCAGGGCTTGATGGAACCTGTTCTTTTTCAACAGTACTAATGTGTTCCTATTTTAAAAGACTGAAGTTAAGAGGGAAAAGGAGATATGTTTCCATTTTGGAGAAGGTAGGGGCAGCTGCTAAGGGTAGAACAATTAAAAGAATGAAAAGAATCCAAGCCCGTTTTTCTGCAGTATTCCTTTATGGAAGCATAGCCACTGAACTATGCCTTGACCCTTGATGTATAATTAAAAATATTTAAAATATATAATCTCACATGTGACCTCCACAGTCAGGTTGAGTTTGCAGCAGCCTCTTACCGGCAGACGGTAAGTTCCAAGACTCCCAGTGCTTACCTGGAACCTCAGATAGCACTGAACCCTCTCCACACTCTTCTCCCCATGCACAGCAGGATAAAGTTTAATTGGTAAATTAAGCACAGTAAGACATTAACCACAAATACTAATGACAATAACCCATTAAATGAATATATTAGATGGACATAACTTGTGAAAGAAAACAGCTAATGTTACTGAGCACTTCAGAATCACTTTATTGCTTGTTCTGCATTTATTGTTTTCTTCAGTTCCTCACATCGGCCTGGGAGATACTATTATTGACATTGCTTAATAATGACTAGATATTTAACACATTGATATTCAATCCAAACATTCTAATCGGAAGTTTTTTCTTCTCCATATTTCTGTAGGAACTTGGAATGCTGACTATCCACGGCGTGATAAGGTTGGCCTTAGTCATCAAGGACAAAGCTAAAAGTCAGACACTTCCTGACCACTGTCCTTGTTCCAGCTTTGACAAATTATCTGTTGCCTTATTTCTTATTGCCTCTTCCACTTGTAAAATTTCTTTCACTTTATGTCTAAGCTAAAGCTAAACTGAATCAATGGCTTTAAGTAAATTAAGACCCTAAACTCTTTAGTTCAAATGTAAATGAAGTAGCTTTCCTACCAAATTACTATCTGTCGAGTTCCTAGACCCTTCCAAACATTATACCCTCTGCCTTCTGGTTGGATGATGCAGACGCCAACCCCTTTATATCACACTGTTTTTAGTAAATGGCCAATTCCTTCTTGCTTACTCTGAGGGTTCTCTTTTAGAGCATAAAACCTAAAATTCTAGTAAAACAAGACACTTTTTTAAAAGAACTTCCAACCATCACAGAGAAATGTTTAAATAAAATGGAAATCCAACTTCTCCTCAGATTCTTTGGACTCTAATACACCTGAGGACATTTTTAAAGACAGTTTCTCCTCTTTCTTAAGATCAACCTCTCTCAAAGCCAAGATTGTCCTTGTGCTAACTTTCTAGCTATTGCAAATGAGGGGAAAGCATTCATCTCTCTTTGTCTTTTCCCTCTGATTCTCTGTTCAGTCTGTATTGTTCCTGGGCTCGGATTTCCCCCATCTAGGCTTTTTGTTTGTTTTTGTTTTGTTTTGTTTTATTTTCTGTTTCTGTTGTTTTGTTTTGTTTTGCTTTTTACACACAACAGGTTTTCATGGGATTAAAAAAATATCAAATGATTCACAGACCCGGAGCCTGGCTTGCTCCTGAGTAAATGCTAGTCCCAGAAACTGTATGTGTGCACCCTGTAAACTTTCACAGAGGAGGGAGCACCCTCAAGCTGAAGTCCAGAAACAGATGAATGTGGAAGAGAATTTGAGCTCCATTCCGCAATGAAGGACCGTGTTCTACAGAACAGCGCATCATGAAGCTAAATGTGACTGTGCCCAACACACTGGTGCTTGTTGGAGGATGGGGGACATGCAAGTCCTTTACCAAGTAACTGGAAAACTTTCTGGAAGCCACAGTTTCATAGTTAGTAGGAAGATAAATGGGAGGGGAAAAGGTTATGGACAAGTATTTGGCGTTATCGTCAAAAATCTCATGTCTGCAGTATTTTTTCCCCATAACCTTGGAAACTTTCCCAGTTCATTTTCAGTCCTATTGTTAGCACAGTTCTGAAGGGTTTGTTCTTGCCAAAATGAGTTTTGTTTTATGTGGGGGTTTTAAAAATGTTATCTCTTGACCCTCAATGCTCAGGTTCTTGTGGGTGTTAATCAACCACATCCAGTGTTACCTTTCCGGGAATAAAGTGGACAACTGCTCAGGATTTAAACAAGGTGACCTTGGGAGCCTCTTGATTAGCTCCAGGTAGCCCATGCTAAAGTCCTGTGGTTTTGTGTTTAATGGGAACAGCTGATTATACATGGCATAATTTTTCGTCTGGCTTCCTACTCAGTCATAAACAAAGACTTGAAATAGTACTTTAAAGGTCCAAATACCTAAAAGTGCTGTACTGGAGGCATCTATTTCTAGGTAGTTGAATTTTTGAAAGCAATGATCAGCCACACAACTGTTTTGTATATACTTATTTTCTATTGCACTTTTCTGTATGCAAATTAAAGCTATAAATTTACTCATTTCAATAAACTGGAATGGCAAAATTGCATCTGTTGACACCAGTTTTTCTAATATTTGACCTTTTCTTTGAGTCGACCATTATGGAGCAAAGCCTACAGTAAATGTGAGTTAAAGAACATTCCAGAATATCATAAAGAAGAAGAGAAAGTGGAAATCCTTGAAGTGGGAGTATGAGTATGTTACCATCCAGTCTCCTTCAGTGCTGTATTCTCTTCGTGCTTTCATTGCTGGTAATTTAATGGAGCCCAATGGGTAAGACCTGCATCAGAATAATCTCAGCCGATGCCTAACATAGAACCACTCTCAGCACCATACTGGTCCATGCAACAATCTCCTCTGTGCCTCCTCCCCTTGGGCTTTATTCAGTCATGTTGGACCTTGCCAAGACAACATCAGGGGACCAATCTAGGCTGGTGCTGGCCACTCAGCACAGAGGCAGTGTGTGGTGGGCAGGTTAGTGGCAAGTGTTTTTGGTGTTAGACAATCCTAGAAGCTGACCTGGTAGAAGAGTTCCAGGCTGTCATTTATTTCAAGGAGACCCAGAAAGGGGTGGGGGTGTAGCTCAGTGACAGAGAATGTCCCTAGCATGTGCAAGGCCTTGAACTTGATCCCTAGCACTTTAAAAGCAGGACAGTAACAACAACAAAACCCTTGGAACTACGAGGAAGAAAATCCCAGGCAGGCTTCACTAGGTTGTGGACATCTCGGTGTGAAAACTTTCTCTAAGGAGTGACACACCTGTGGGATAGCCACCTTTTGGTACATACTGTCATGGGTTGCCTGACATTGCTGTCTTCTTTTTCACCTTAACTAAGACAGTTGATCTTTTTCTGATAGCAGTGAGGTGTAACACAGTTAGACAGACACTGCACAAAAGCAGCTACCAGAAGAACTGGAAGCAAATTGCAGATGAGATGGGAAGACTACTGATAAGAGCACGCTGCACAAATTGTCTGCCTTACTGAGGTGCTCTGCAGTATGTCTAACTTGTTAAGCCTGTGTGCTGTTTCCTTGTGGTTGAATCTCCAGTGCTTTTCCAAGCTTAACTCACTATGCTCATTGTGACTTTCATCTTTGTACAGTGCAGTAAGGAGGGAGAGGGTCAGAGAGGTGCTTATTAAAGTTGAATCAGCTCTGCCCTCAATGGTACTGGTGATATTCATATCTATGGTGGAAGTTCAGCATAGTGTGGGAGACCTGTTAAATTAAAAAGAGGGTTTCAGGTAGGCATTAAGTACTGTCTATCTAATTAAAACCTAAACTTTAATGGCCAGGATGCTCCCAAATTTCTCACACAAGGCAATACAAAGGGTAGAGGTATTGATTTTCTGGAGATAGCCTTATATTTGTGATGATATCCTGGACCGTTTATTTCAGTCCATCCAGACCATAACAACCTCATGTTAGTTTGTCCCTCATGCTTCAGAGAGGCCGCCATAGGCTCCAACTCAGGGAGAGTTTCTCATCAGCTTTCTATTATAAAACTGTGCAGTGGGAAAGAGATTCTTTTTAAACCAGTGATGTCAGACTTCCCCATCAAAGTGTTGACCATGGTGTTTAGAGAGCTTGGTGATGACTGTGTCCTTCCTGTGCTGAAAGCAAGAAGTGGGAGGGAAAGCAGCACATGTAGCTAACTCAGGAGTTTGCTTGACCCTTGAATTACCTGATGAGTGAGGACACCGACCCACATGACTGGAATAGTTTCAGTACAAAGTCAGTGACAGATGGGAGCTGCCTGAAAGTTCCTGGCAAATATTTAAGCAATTACTGTTTGAGGAGATTGCTAAATAATAAAGCACCTAATTCTTGCTGGGAAATTATGTGTTTTTAACTAATTCTCTTCTCCTAAAGCTAACTAAAATTCACCTTCTAAGTTGATCTGCCAAACAGATGGATGGATGGGAACAAAGCTATGTACTAGCAGCAACTCTGTTAACATCTCCTAATTACTGCAGTGCTGATGATGGACCTCAGCCAGCCATTTGTCACCTCACCTAATGAGTGACCCGGCCCCTCATTTGCCCTTGCTTTGCTGGAATTATTCACTTAATTACTAAACCTCTGTTTGCACGAAAATCATGCAAGTGCTCTTCTCCAAGGAGACCAAAGTGTGGGCTGCTCACTGACTAAAGATGATGTTACATTAAAAAAGAAAACCCAAACAGTCTTCATGACTTTTTCTCATGATGCTGGTGGTGTAGCTTTCTATCAATTCACTCTTCATTTAGTTGGCTTCAATTATTATTTAATTGGAGGAAGGGAGGAAGAGAGGAGAGAGAGAGAGAGAGGGGAGAGTCCCAAAAGTTAGAGAGTAACCCAACAGGGCTAGAGCTGAGTCACAGACATGACAGATATCTTTAGAATGTGTCTCCCCAAAGTGCATACTTACTCATCGACTAGTTAGTTGATCATCATCGTTTGGGGTCAGCTGAGATGAGAGTATCGGACACAGAAGCAAACAGAAGGAGAATGGAAAGGCTGGCATGACGCTCGCCTCCTCTCCCTTCCCTGGCCAGAGAGATTGGGTTAGGGCCTTGATGGTAGGAAATGATAGGGCTGGAAGCCGAAGGGGCTGTCTCCCTTTGATAAAAGACCCTGGGGAGTTCTCAGCCCATGTCTCCATTAGGAATGGAGAGAATACTAACAGGAGGGCTCAGAGTAGCTAAAACTGGATGTCTTAGAGCTGCTCTAACATGAATATAGTCTGAATGCCTTAACAAACATTTCTCACAGTTCTAAAGGCTGCAGAATCCAAGACCAAGGCTCGCCTGTCTTTTGAATATTACTTTTGTTGGAAGTAATTTCCCATTTCAGTGTGGCCTCTCACACTGCCAGTGTTTACTCCTAGCCACCTTCTACCCTCCTTTCTACTCAGCCAGGAACATAACACACTTACACTCGCTTTCACTCTGAGCCTCTGAACTGACACACATTGTGGGGGTCCCACCCGATTCTGTGCTCCCAGGCAGCAGTGGTACAGAAGAGGGACTACATTGTGCCTATTTCCTGTATTCCTGGACATGCTCCATTTTCCCAGTAGACCTTTCTTCCCAAACAAAAGTTCAAACATAAAAGTATTCAGAATGTCAAAAGGGCAAAAGCAAGTGTGGAGCCAGCCGCAGAGTGCTCCTGAGAGCTGAGCTCTGCGCTGCTATCCAGGCTGCACCCCAGTAGGACAATGTGAAGAAGGCAAGGAGTGGGTGTGGGTTATTAGCCAGTGCAGCCCCACCTGCCTCCGAGGCTACTTCACCCCAAGTCGGACACCCCCTAAATACAGATCACAGCTTTCTGTAGCCCCTCAGCACCCCTCAAGGCAGGACAGAGGAGCCCCTGAGGTGCACAAAGCCCATTGTGGGGCAACTTGGCTAGAATATAGGAGCTGCAGAACGCAGGGCACTGGTTTCTGTGTCTTGTTATCATGAAAATCACCAAAAATAATAAAAATTGGAAAGGAGCCAGGGAAGCAAAGTCACTGCATGAGAGGCTTTAATGTTAACCTTATTTAAACCCAAATAAATGTGGTACTTCGGTGGTAAGGGTAACAGGAGGAGGACCATAAAACTCGTGAGCTTTGCATTTGCTCGAGAGCTTAGCAGTTCACTTTACCTCATGGCCAGTGCAGCATAACTGTTTGGACTTAGAGATGGCCCATAGAAGTTAACAAACAAGAGTAGCAAACACCTACTTAGCATATTATGACCAGACACCGTCATGATCGTGTTTCAATACACAATTTAATTTTCTTCTCAAATCTCTGAGCTGGCTGCTACATGAACCCCATTTTATCTAATGGCAAAGAGAACTTCAATAACTGGCCAAGGTCACACAGCTAGAAAATGGTGGAAATGAAGTCTCAAGGACAGGCTGTGGCCTTGTGTGTGATCTCATTAACCACAGAACCGTTCCAGGGTCTGCAAAAATGGATCCCATCACCTTTATGCCAGGAGAGCTTATAATCAGTAAGATTTTTATTGTCTTCACAAGTATTTCCTTTACACTTCCTGCAACCAATGTGTTTATCCCGAAAATGGATGAAAAACTATTTCTGGCCAATTTTTATTTGGGCAAGTCGATCTCTACTTGACCTCTCCAAAGCACAGTTTTAGAATGACTTACCACTTCAAGGTTTGATTTTTCTACCAGTTATAAATATTTACACATCAATTTAACCTCATACTCAGTCCGCGCTAAATCAGGTATTTCCTGTCAGCATAATTAAGTGTTTTTAGTGTAAGACTCTGCCACTTACGGTAAAAGATGGGTGTGAGTAATGTTCTCTCAATTTCTTCTACATTATAAACTAAACTATCCTGTACCTGCTCAAAGTCAGGCTAGGTCTGAGTTACACAGCACATTTGTCCGATTTTTTTGTCATTGTAACAGAACAATTTGAGATAAACAATTTAAAGAGGGAAAAGTTTTATTTTGGTTCAAGATTTCAGAGACTTCAGTCCATGTTAGGCTGGATATAAGGCAAAACCGTCGTGGCAGAAGGGCATGGAAGAAGAAAGCCGCTTACCTCATGGCAGCCAGGAAAGAGAATCACATGCGAGGGAGAGAGGGAGAGGGAGGGGAGGAGACAGAGGGGAGGAAGAGGGAGAGGGAGAGAGAATGCCGGTACTGGTTCCCTCGGTTTTGTTTTGTTGTTGTTGTTTGGTTTGGTTTGGTTTGGTTTGGTACCAGGGATCGAACTCGGGTACTTAGGCTTGCGAGGCAGGTGGCAGAACCACGGAGCTAAATCCCTGGCCTACTTTTTTATTTTTGTACTGGAGATTGAACCCAGGGCTTTTTCACTGAGCTGCATCCCCAGCTCCTTTGTTATTGTTTGAGACAGGATCTCATTAAATTGTTCAGGCTGGGGTTGTATGCGTGACTCTGCTTCAGCCTTCCAGAGAGCTGGGATTGCAGGCATCCATATCTGGCTCTTCTGCTTCTGTCGCTTCTAGGCACCCAGTCTATTGGACAATGCTGTCCATATTCAGAGGGGGATCTCCACCCTCAGTATTTTTTTAAAATTCTCTCTTCCTA